TACACTTAAAATAAGAAAACACAATTGCATTGTCTTATTTCAAGTGCATATTATCTAATTATCTTATTTTAAGAGTAAAATTACTCATTCCATTGGCAAACTATCTCATTTACCTACTCAAATTCAGAGTGAATGCACTTAATTTAAGAAAATTTTACTTATTTCTAGATGGTTTTTGCAGTGTAAGTACAGCAATCAAGTAAATTTACTTTGTTATTTTCCATCACCGTATAAATGACACTGAAATATTAATCCTAAATTCTTTTAATAAGGCAGTAGCTCTAACTTCCTCTGCCGTGGTGTCTGTTAGAAAAATTATTTGTATTAATGTTTTGGAAAATATTTGATCACCAGATGCGTCATTGTCTCCGTTACATGATGGGAAGTGAGCAGAGGAAGTTGAAACTGTGGAAGAAGTAAGACTTTTAAAAGCTACTTTCATGGTTTTCATACAGCTGAGCTAAACAGTAAGGTTAAACAAAAACAAAAATGGATGCTTTCTAATGAAACAGCACCCACTAGTGGCAGGGTTGATACTCTACAAGCCAGCAGAAACATTTAAATGACATTGGGTCTGAATGCATCCTCGCCTGTTTAAGGTCTGCCAGATGTGAGCACAGACTCACCAGTGTCGGGGTCCGTGGCTCGCACTACAATCACAGAGGTGCCAATTCCTGCAGTCTCCCTCAGGCCTAAGCGGTTGTACTGTTGCTGGGTGAAAACCGGCACCTCATCGTTGGCATCTTCGACATAAATGATCACCTGTGGGAGGAAACATCTGCTACTTTCTGCACCAGCAAAGATTTACATGATATTTAGCAATCAGGTGACTAAAGAGTAATAAAACCACAACAGCTGTTGATAAATGCTTCACTTGACTGACAAAATTGCTGCTTTACCTTTTAAACCAGTTTATAGGAAAAAAAAAAAACAGATTTATGAAGAGAATAATCAGAAATAGGCCAAAGTTTATCTTTAAAACTTCCTGTTCAGCATTATTTTCTTATTATTTCTCACTATGCTTAAAGGAATAGTACACCCAAAACATGATTAGCCTTCATTTTCTACTCACCCCCATGCTGAACAACACTCTGGAGTACTTTT